AAAAAAAAAAAGAAAAAAAAAGGGCTTTTGCTTATTTGTTCAATGTTGACGGAATTCTCCGAGACCCCCCATCAGGAGCAAATATGTCCCCCCGCGTTATCCAGAAACAAAGGCAGGCCTGGGGATACCGAAAGCCGGAGCGCGTCTCTGTGCTCTGTCCTCGGTTGCAGTAAGTCACCGCGCCACCACCTTGCAGATAAAGTGTCCCCCCAAGCCTCCCTGCCCCCAGCTCCAACAAAGGCCGTCAGATTTTCCTTTCTATTCACATTTTAGTACTTTAAAATAATATTGATATAGTCACATGGTACAGATCTGTTACACGCTCTGATGTATAAGAAATGAATTTATGGCTTTATTTTCGATTAACTTTCCCATTTTTAGAGGTCGCAACTGAAAACCTTTAAAGTTTCTTTCTTTTTTTTTTCTTTCCCATGGAGGGTGGCAAGGGCTGTATTTTATTGTAATGCCCGAGGTTGGGGTGTTTTGTTGTTGTTGTTGCATTTTATTTTACTGTTTCTCTCTTTGATCTTCCGGGGCTGTAAAGAGGGTGTTATTTTCAAGATAGTGGTTCTAAGAATGGAAAAAAAATCGTTCTTTAAAAAAAAAAAAGGGCAAAAAAAAAAGCATATGCTTCCAGGAATGCGGGGTCTATAGAAGCAAATCAAAGCTGGAAAGTATGAATAGAATAGAAGGGGGAGAAAAGAAGATTTCTATAGGACCTAAAAGTTCACAGCCATTATAAGCAGACAGAAGCCAAGAAAAATGCGAGAATTATACAGAAAATCATTAATCACTTCTTTTCTTTAAATACTTATCCTTTTCCCATTGTTATTCAACAGCAAATCTCCGCAGACCGTCTGTTGGGAAAAAAGCACCCGGAGTCCTACAAGAATCTTCAGGGGAAATAATAATATTAATAATAAAATCTGGAGCGTAAAGGTGCAAGCTTTATTTTTGGGGGAGAAAATCAAAACCAAATCACCCCCTCCCCAAGCCACCCCCTCCCCCAGACCTCTCACTTTGGAAGAAACCACCCAAACCATGAGGGCCATCTCTGGGGCGTTGGAAAAAGGATGTGGGAGCGAACCAGGTAACGGAGCTGCTCTCTTGGCATGCATTTCTGCTCGGTTTGTTGCCTCCTTTCAGGAGAAAGCTGGGGGGAAGCAAAAGGGGGAAAAAAAAAAAAAAAGAGCTTAAAAAAAAAAAAAAAAAAAAAAAGTCTAAAAGGGAAAAATGAAAAGCAGCTTAAAATATAAGAAGTTGACTGTAAAACCTTATCATATAGGCAAAAAATACTTGTTAAAGAACTAAAAACTTAAAACATGCTAACTCTTCAAACAACCATATCTGGAAGGCTGCCAGAGAACAAACCAGGCTGAGAAGTCCTACTTATGTCTAAAAGGAGCATTCAAGGAAGATAAAGCTGAAGGAGAAAAGCTAAATTAACTCTTCCCCATGGTGTCTCTCCTGCAAGAGCTGTGGGACTTGCTGGCACCAGAGCCTTTCCTGATGAGGAAGAGCATAGACACATAGATATATTGGAGAAAAGTAAGATCCAACATGGCTTTTTTAGGTAAAAGAGATGCTTCAAAAGGCTATTGATGTTCTGTTAAAAGATCAGTGATCATGTGGAGAGGATTGACGTGGTTATATTCTGTACCTGAATTTCCTAAAAGCTTTTGAAAATGTTGGGCACTAAAAGCTCTTAAAGATATTAAGCTGTCACGGAAGAAGAGAGAGGACACCCACTAGTTAATAACTGTTACTTTAAGAGCTGAGCAGTCAAAAATTGTGGCTGGTCAGTTGTTACAGTAGAGGGAGGTTATCCCACAGGGAGTGAGTTCCAGGGCTGGAGTCAGCTCTGTTTACCATATATTCATAAATGAACTGTAAAAGTCTGTTCATTACTATTAATGCAATGAATCTCTTTTAGTGAGGGCAAATTTTCAGCTGGCGGAAAAGCGTTCAGGAAAATCAAACGCAAAACTGACCTCAATGACTTGTGGAAAGCTCTCATGATACTGAGTGATGGGGTAATAATTGGCTGAAGAGATTCAATGTCAATAAATGCAAAGTAATGCACATGGCAAAATAACAATCCTAACTATACATATGCAATGATGGTCTCTACATTAACAATTCATGAAAGAGGTCTCAGAATAACTCTGGATAATTTCCTGAAATGTCAACTCAATGTTCAATAGTTGGAAATGCAAAAAGATGTTTAGGAATAGGAGTAAGAGAATGAAAACAAGCACGAAACATCTCTATGGCATATTGCAAAGCCACAATTCATGCACAGCGTCCCTGACCACTCCATCCCAAAAAGAATGGGGCAGACCCTGGAAAGGCACAGAGCTGTTGGGATGCACAGACACTGAAGGCCATCAGGCACATCTTGAAGGAGAACAGGTCTTTGATTGATGCCTGGGCCATCCCAGCTGAGCTTCTCCTTTCTGCTTCCCATGACAAAGAAACTCTTCTGCTATATTCAAAGCAAGGGTAAAATAGTTAAAACGTTAAACTGCAAAGCCATTGCTTGCATTTTTAGTGGCCTCAGGAGCTGTGTTGTAAAAGATAAATCATCCACCAGAAGTTTAAGTAATCAAGAGTCACTTTCGCTTCGTGAACTTGCTATTCTCAATTTGTTCTTCATAATCTTTCATATTGTGATTGAAGAAAAGAGACAAGGATAAGAGAAGTCCTAATATGAATTGAAAATTAATGGGAGAGGGGGACAAGATAAGAATGATGTTTGTATGCTCTATATTTTAGAAACTGTAAGGTCTTTTCTAGTTTTAACTTACATAATGTTTAAATTGTATCTTGTCACCTTTGAAGTAGTTCTGAAGTTGTCTGCAAGCTATGAGTTAATCTTGTACCTTTACTCTGACCTCCTTCTACTGCAGGTAGTTACGAAACATTGGTTACAGAGTGACAATAAAGACTTGTAACAACATAATCATAATCTGAAGTTGGTCTTTGCTGAATAAATATGACAGTAGAATGCAAACCGGAAAGCTGATCTTGTAAAAGATCTTGGCCAAAGAATAAGTACTTGGACAGTCCATAAAATTTACAAGACATACAACTACATGAGATGGACCCATAAGGAAAATATCTGTTTCTGAGGTCTGTAAGTCCTGTTGCTGGAGATAGCAGAGTTGGTAGGAATGGCTAATGTGCACATAGAGGAGGATCGTGGAACTGCCTCCATCAGCATTTCAGGAAAGTAAAGCCAGAGGCAGGAAGGAAAAGGACTAATACTGTCTCTTCCTTAAATGACAGCAATTTGTCCTGTTCACAAATGCATTTTCCACCTCCTTGCTCCCTTCTGGTCACACCTCAATACCAGGTATTTTGATATTGAAAATAAGAGGGCTGTATCAGAAAGAGGATTGCCTGCAGGAGTATGGAAGTGATCTTTCCCCCTGTACTCAGCACTGGTGAGGCCGCACCTTGAATACTGTGTTCAGTTTTGGGCCCCTCACCGCAAGAAAGACATTGAGGTGCTGGAGTGTGTCCAAAGAAGGGCAATGAAGGCTAGTGAAGGGTCTGAAGAACAAGTCTTATGAGGAACAGCTGAGGGAACTCAGGTAGTTTAGTCTGAAGAAAAGGAGGCTGAGGGGCTCCTGACTCTACAGCTACCTGAATGGAGGTTGTAGCAGGGTGACTGTTGGTCTCTTCTCCTAGGAAACAAGTGACAGGACAAGAGGAAACCACCTCAAGTTGCATCAGGGGAGATTTAGGTTTGATATTAGGAAAAATTTCTTTACTGAAAGTGTTGCAAAGCACCCAGGGAAGTGGTGGAGTCACAGTCCCTGCAGGTATTTAAAAGATGTGCAAATGTGGTGCTTAGGGACATGGTTTTGTGGTACTCTTGCCAATGCCAGGTTTACAGCTGGACTTGAAGATCTTGAAGGTCTTTTCCAACTTAAACAATCCTATGATTCTATGAGTGAAAACATTTATATTTTCTGCATAACTGTCAGCTTCATTTCTACAAATTAATCTCTGAGCATCCGAACAGTCTTTGTGTGCTTACAGTTCAGGTGGCCCAGTACTGCTGCACAATTTCTATTTACCTAGCCCACAAGCTGGCCAAACAATAACAGCAGCGGGGAGAATAGGCCTGGCAGTGAGGGGAAGGGAGGGCTGAGCTCTTTAAAACCAGGAGTAGAAATATTCTCAGCTGCTTTAGACACTGAAATAGTTGTGCTGTTCAGTACAAGATTGTAATAACAATCCCAGTGTTTGAGAGGGAAAAAAAAAGCACGGGGTGGCTTAGCTGAACCAAGGTCCAGCAACTCCAACCTCTAGGCAAGGTTTAGGGCAGGTTTTCAACGCTCTCAGCTCCTGGCAGGAGAGAGGATGGGGGAATAAACCTCAAATCGCGCCCTGTGGCAGCGAGGGGGCTGGGAGGTGGGTGCCCCCCGCACCCCCTCCCCCCGCGCTGGCCCGCCCGGGGAGCTGGGTCCGGCTGGAAAAGCCTCGTTCGGTTCGAAACTTCTTTAAAAAAATCCTGTTCCGGTGGAAGGTCACAGTGGTCCTTTGAGTATGAAACTGAGAGACCCCCTTCCCCCTTCCCCATCACGTGATTCATTAAATAATTAATGCAGAGGTTGCAGAATAGATATGTATTCGTCAGGAAAATCGCAGACATGGTCTCCTTGTGTCTGACGTGAAATTCAACTGTCCTTTAAAAAACAAGCCTATAGCTGAGGGGAAAAAAAAAGAGAGAAAGAGCGAGAGGGAGAGAGAGAAAGAGGGGGAGAGGAGGAGAGAGGGAGAGGAGTCTGCAATAAAACAATTCTCAGGAACCACGAAGCCACGCCGAGGGCTGGATTATTGTAAGTAGCAGGGGCTTCCCAATTCCTAGCGTGTCTATATGTCCATGTAAATTTATTGTTTGTTATTAATGTTATTGTCGTAAAATGTGACAAATAGCCGTCTTCATTTCCTCCCATTTCTCTTCACATGGTGGTATGTGTGTTTATACCCATCGAGGCATTTCATTGATATTTTTAGGAATATTCCTCTCTCTCCCCCTCTCCCTCTCTCTCTCCTCGCAACCTCTTTTTTTTTTTTTCTTCCCCCTTTCTTGATTTATTACAATAAACATGTCAGCAGCAGCGCGGCTGCCATTGTGTGTGTGTTTGTGAGAGAGTTGTGTTGTTTATAGTGGTGTCCAAGATAAATCATTTCTCGAGTGAAAATGATGTGCAAGCGATGATATTTTAGAGCGAGGATCTCTCCCTACCCCACTCCCTGGAGTTGATTATTTCAGACGATTTACAGTAATAGATCAGCAGCTAATATGAAAGCTCTGTAGCTGGGGGTCTTAAATTACAGCATCTGTGATTACCAATTAAGGAGAGATTTGTATAAATTTGGTAAACCGGGAACGCCTCGTTGGCGTATAAACCTAGTAAAAGAGCACGACCTTCATCTAAAAATTACAGCTCGGAGTCCTGCTTTGCAGCATCCCTTGATCAACGATAACTCATTTTCTCCCCAGTTCCCCCTCCTCGTCCCCCGGCAGAGAGCAGGCACAGCTTCTGGAGAAGCCCTGTTTTAAACCAGATGCAGAAATGGGATTTTAAATGCAAAAATAAAAAGGTTGCAGCGGGAAGGCTGCGAGGTAGCTGCCTCTGAGCGAGGCACGGCTCCGTTCCCGGACGGGAAGGGGGATTTGCCCATCAAAACCAGAACAATGTGGGTCTGTGGGAACTGGGGCGCTACTGGGGGACCCCAGCAGAAGCGGGTTGCTCCTGTAACAACAGAGAGGGGAATAACCTCATCGCGGGGCGTTCCTGGTGCTTTTCTAGCAGGAGGATAACTTTGCGGGGCTTCCTAGAGCCCTGAGCTCTCTAAGGCTGCGGTGGATGAAGAGATGGAGGAAAACGTTCTTGTGGTGAAAGCTGGAGAAGGTGCTCTGAGGGATGTTTTGCTATTTAGGAGCCCGGGCCTGTTATTTACCTCGGGAAAAACAGAGCTCCGAGAAGAAATAGCACTGAAAATAGGTTTAAATAATAGCAGAACCTGGCAGGCAGCTGTTACCTTTTTAGAGATCTGTATGTAAAATATAGC